AGTGAACACCCTGAACACTGAGGTCCTATCACGGGAGGCCCCCTACCACCTACCCTCCTCCCCGCCTCTCTCTACATGCTTCCCAGGTGCAGAGGGGGGCCCCACAGCACACCTTCTTTGGGGTCTTTTCTGTCTGTCTTCCTGAGATCTCTGGATCATCAACCCAGGCCACTGATCATGGCTGCTTCCGTGGCTGAGTAGTGGTGGGTGATGATACCGACGGGCCAGGTGGGAGCCTCACCCCTGCAAGGTCAGGAGGGCTGTTTCCAGTGCTCGATTCTTGCATATAAAGGCTCTGTGTTGACTGCTTTTTGTTTCTGGCTTTCAGACCATGCACAGAAATACTCTGAACTTACTCCTGGCTCTGTGCTCAGGGGTCTCTCCTGGCCATTCCCAAGGACTGGGACCAGGCTCTTCAGGGGCTGGGACCAGGCTCTGCTTAGTACAAGGCAAGCACCTCTACTAGCTCTAGACCTAAGGGCTCTCGCACAAACTGTCTTCACTGTGGAGGTGGAGTGCCCAGGGAAGCTGTTTTTGGAAAATCTCGTGTTCGGTATTTGATTAAGCGCCCCACTGTTAGCAGGCCTTCTCTGTGGCAATGCAGGAGGCCTCCTCCTCCCCACCTCTAGCCAGTGCTGGAACGTGATCCTGCTCTGTTCCCTTCATCCTTAATAGGCGTGTGCTGATATTTGTGGTTTTAATTTGCATTTCCCTAATGAATAATGATGCTGAGCATCTTTTCATGTGCTTATTTGCCATCTGTGTATCCTTTCAGATGAAATTACTCCTTGTCTTCTGCCTCTTTCTAATTGAATTGTTTATTCTCCTACTGTTGAGTCTTCCCGGTTCTTTATAGAGTCTAGAATCTCGTCCACTGTCAGGTATTTTCCAAATATTTTCCCTTCCTCTGTAATGCATCTTTTCAGTCTTCTTAACGTTCTTTCAAGGCAAAAGTTTTTTTTTTTATTGTTCCGTTGTCTGATCATATCATGTGTTTCTTTTATGGATTATGCTTTTTTTTCTAAAAGCTTCACAAGTTTAGGTTTTACATTTATGACTTTGGTCATTATTGAGTTAAATACTATATAGCGAACTAATTAGTCTTAAGTCTAAGACTACTTAAGTAAACCAAGGTACCCTTGCTATGCTGGTGAGCAGCTGCTTGTTTATTTGCTGTTGAGATGCCTGTCCATGCTGAATTTCCAGCATCTAGTTCTGGCTTCTCTGTTATGATCCATTGATCTCCACGACTTTTTCTGCCCCAACTATGTGGTCTTGATTACTCTAGCCATAGAATAAGTGTTGGAAACTAATAAAGCAATTTCTCCTATTTTATCTATTGGTTTTTGCCCTTTCTAGATACATTTTACAAGAATCGGAAACCGATCCAATTCATCTCAATCATGGAGGAAGCATTCAGTCTTTTGATACTAAAAAGAACAAAGAATGTTAGTTACAACCTTTTGCTTATAAAGACTTTTTGTCAAGCTGTGAATTTTTCATTACACCCCCCCCCACACACACATATATAGGGGAGTATATATACATATATATATATATGTGTGTGTGTGTGTGTGTGTGTGTGTGTGTGTGTGTGTATGCGTCTATGTGTGTGTGTGTGTAGAGACAGATACAAATACATAAGCATTTGTAATGGCACATAGATATTGATTGATTTTCAATTATTGGCCCAAGCTTATATTACTGGAATAATCTACACTTAGTCACGTTGAATGGAATTTTGCTCTGTATTTCCTCTCTGTACTCCTTTTTGTCAAGGATTCTTGCAAGAATACCTGTGAAGGCGTAAGACTGTTCTGTTGTTTTATTGGTTGGCGCTGTCTTGGTGGGGTTGTTGGAATGTCTTAGGATTCAATAGCATCTGGGAGCCTGGAAATCACAGCTCAGGACAGGTGGAGCTGGTGTCAGATTGCTTCCAGAGCTTTCTGTTGGTCTTTCGTTCATTCTCCTCTTCCTTAAATCGGCTGTTGACAGGAGTCTTGGGGTCATTAACAGAGAATTGTTCTCTTTCCTAATGAATGTTTTAGTGCTACTAATTTCCCTCAGAGCCCTGTGTAGCTAGTCCTATACAGTGCGGCAGCTGGCTTCCCCTTCATCATTCAGTTTAATGGATTCTTTTCCCTGAGATTTTCCCTCACCCATAGGTCATTTGGAACTGTGTTGCTTAATGATTCGTGATTTTCCTGCCACTTACCTCCTATGAATTTTTAGTCCGATTCCATTGCAGAGGGGGACTGCATTCCACATATCTTCATCACTTCGAGTCTGTTGGGTCTGTGTGGAGGCCCAGCGGTGGTCTGTCCGGTCTCTCCTCGGTGGACACTGGGAGTGAGACTTTCCTGCTGGGGAGTGTAGTGTCCTGCACGTGATTGGTGATGGTGAGGAACTCCACCTGCTGCTGGTTTTCTAGCCAAGACACCAAGCCTATTGTCCACCCTCCTCTCTGGAACCCCAGCCTGCCTCACAAAGCAGTTCCTGCCTGAGTGGGCCTGTCCCCAGTGCCTGTCTCCCTGCTTTTGTCTGACACGGGGCTGAGTCCTTTCTGCCTCCCATCTGCCTCTTCCCAAGGAGTCAGGCTTGCTGGGAGGGTCGAGACGCCAAAAAAAGGACTCTCAGGGGTCTGAAGGCCGCAAAGGAGAAGAGAAATGCAGATTGTTCACTGAAATCAATGTGATCTGATAGAAGGTGCTGAAGAGCACTGAGCTGCAGTTGGAGTCAATGGGGGTGTTTTGTGTGGTGGGGTAGTGGTGTGTGTGTGTATGTGTGTATGTGTGTGTGTGTCTGCTGTGTCTGCTTTGAGTGTGTGGTTTGTGGTGTATGTGGTCTCTGGTGTGTGTGTGTGGTTCGTGGTGTGTGTGTGGTATGTGTGTGGTGTATGTGTGATGTGTGTATTGTGTGTGGTTGTTGTGTGGTGTGTGTGGTTGGTGTGTGTGTCGTGTGTGGTTGTTGTGTGGTGTGTGTGGTTGGTGTGTGGTGTGTGTTTGTGTGTGGTGTGTGTTTGTGTGTGGTGTGTGTTTGTGTGTGATGTGTATGGAGTGTGTGTTGTGTGTGGTTGGTTTGTGGTGTGTTTGTGTGTTTGTGGTGTGTGTGGTGTGGGAGAATTTGTGTGGTGTGTGCATTTGTATGTGTGGTGTGTGGGGGGGTTTATGTAGTGTGTGCTTGTGTGTAGTGTGTGTGTGCTGTATGTATTGTGTATGGTTGGTGTGTGGTGTGTGTGATTGGTGTGTGGTATATGTGTGTGGTATGTGTGCATGGTGTGTGGTATGTGGTTTGTGTGGTGTTTGTGTGTGGCATGTGTAGTGTGCCTTGTGTGTTGTATGGTGTGTGTGGTATTGTGTGTGTGATGTGTGATATGGTTTTGGTCTGTGTTTGTGTGTGGTGTGTGTGTGTGATGTGTGTGGGTGGTGTATATGTGTGTGGTGTGTATGTGTGTGTGGTGTTTGTAGTTGGTATGTGGTGTGTGGTGTATATGTGTGTGTGCGTGTTAAAGGAAAATATTTAATTGACACAATTATTTGTTTCCATTGAAAAGGCCGAATATACCTAGTGATTAATTCTGAAACCTGTGGAATTATTCTGTTATGTAACATGACATCATTATATACATTTTTTGAATTTGTTTTTTGGCCAATGTGGCTGTGCTTCAGGGCTTACTCCTGGCTCTGCACTCAGGAATCATTTCTGGAGGGTCTAGGGGGACCATATGAGGTGGCGGGGATTGAATCTGGGGGCCATATGCCAAGCATCCATGTTACCCATTGTACTACCTCGCTGGCCCCTAATTCAGTGTTTTAGCTTGAGCTTATCATTCTCTCTGTGAGCCTATTATTTCTACATATGTTACAGAATGGATTGCACCATTCAATTCAGCCTCCGCATGAGCTATTTAGTACCACAGACTTACAGGCATCTCAGTGGGTCTCAGCTGGTCAGCAGGGGTCAGCTCACAAATCTCATCTGGTCAGCAGGCATCCTGGTGGTCCCCTTCTGGCATCCTAGATTTGTCTTCAACATGCACTGGCTGTTGTTCAGAAACTAAACCAGTTCCCTGTGGTCAGCTGGGGAGAACACAGGTGAAGCTGTTGTGTGACCGTTGGGACAGCCGCTGCTGTGTAGCATGTGACACCCACTGTGAGCCTGACTCCGTGCCTCAGGGTTAGGACTTTTCCATCGACAAGTGACAGTGCATCTTCTGTTGACAGATTTAAGACTTCTTAGGGCTCTCAAGTTTGTTCTCAGAAATAAAATATTAAATCGACTCATTTGACCTCTGCTTGAAGTAGTAATGACACATCATCAGGTATTGCACCCTGACCAGTGACATTTTCTTTTTTTTTAAAAATTATTTTATAAGGTAATCACAATGTTTTCATTACATTTAATATTCAAACACCAATCCCACCACCATTACATCTTCCCACCACCATATTTGGGATGTTTCCATCCCAAACCCCAATCCCTGCCTCAAAGGAGAACCGAAGTAATATATCTTGTATTGCTTGATATGAAAAACCGTTGAAAATGCTGCAAAAAAGTACCCATAGAGGAAAGAGTGTGAAGATTATTCTATTTTAGACCGGTGAGTTTTCCTTATGAGAGAAACAGAACTATTTAAGGGGCAGATCAGGAATAAGCACCTGTGAAATAGCTCTTGTTAGATCTCACTTAGAGGAAGATGAACCCAGGAAGAGAACCAGCAGCACGCGTGAGGGTGACTGTGTGGCTGTCTCATCTTCTGCCCCGTGCTAAGACAAGGTGTATTGTAGGATTTCTGCAAGAATGATTGTCTCAGGACTTGTCTAAATATTGCTTTCTCCTGAGGAGGGCTCCCTTTCAAGGGCCAACCATGCCCCTTTCAGAGCTCGTGTGACAGTTTGAGAGGGAAGCCCAGGGAACCAGCACCCCCCGCCCCTCCCCTCCAGGGATTCTGCTGAGCCTCTGGCCACACCTAACTGTGTCTCTGTCTCCCCGGAATTCAGGCTGTCCGGCTTCCAGCTACCTTCCTCCATTGTGAGCAGCGGCTCCATCCTCACCCTTTGGTTCACCACGGACTTCGCTGTGAGCGCTCAAGGCTTCAAGGCGCTGTACGAAGGTAGGAGACTGCTCTCCGCGCTGCCCCTGCCTGTCCACTCCTGACCAGGAGCCGGACAGAGATGGGGCTGGCGTTTCTCTGCTGGCTCCTGGGGCACAACACATGGTGTTTGCGTTGGGAGTGAAGGGTTTCAGCCTGCCACATGCTGCCATGGCTAAGCTTTCTTGTATAAAACGTGTTTCCACACTTTCCTTTGTAACAGGAGAGCGCTTTGGTGTTGGAGAAAAGGTTGGGGTTTGTTTTTGACATCGTGTTGGAAAGTTTCAAATGTTTGGAAGTCAGAGCCTTTTTGGTCAAGGGTGCGTTTTCTTATCCTTTTAGACGTTTTAGACTGGTCCTCTGTGCTGTGATGAAAGTGGTCCTGAGAAACGAGATTGGGTGTTTGACCTAGCAGCTTGAGCAGGCAGAAGTTGGTTTAGGTGTTTGGTTCCTGAGAGGCATAGAGAAGAGATGTGGTTTTATGTCCTCGGCCTTAACTCTGGAGATAAGTACTGCTGGAGGCTTTTGTTTGTTTGTTTGATGTTTTGGACCACAGCTGGCAGTTCTCAGGGCTCAGTCCTGGTTGGGCTTGAGGGCACGGAGAACACCGACCCACCCTCTGGGCTAGGTCTCCAGCAGCAAAGTTGGAGTATTGCTATTCCTATGGAAAGACTCTTGGGAAGGATGTTTTAAGAGATAGAGAGGTTCAACTTTTGGTAGAGAAGGTTCCAGGTGGAATCATTGTTTTCAGGAGTCACACTTGAAATGCTGGCGTGTGAAAGTGGAGGGATATCTGTCTGAACCTTACACCTCGTGTTTGCACGGCAACTGCCCTTGTGCTCAGATTAGCAGAGCCCTTACTTTTTGGAGAGAGATAATTCCAGGGCCTGCAAACTGAAGAAAGGGGGCATTGATGGGAGTGTGGCCGGTCTGAGGACCACCCTGGACGCCCCCCCCAGGTGGGTGAGGTTTCCAGATTAGCTCTGGTAAGTATCACTGGTGGGAAGTGACCTTTTCCATGTGCTTTATGCAGCTTCTTCGCGATTACCAGGAAATATCAGGGCGAATGTTCTCTCTGATCTTGCATCTGAAGAGACCAATGTAGCTTTTACCTCTAACAGCTTGTGGAGTAGAGTTTCTGCCGCTGTAGCTGCTGACTAGGGGGGTCTTTAGAGCCCGCACTGTACATCAAGTGGGATTGCTGTCCCAGAGGGATTATTGGAATACACATTTGGATAGAGCCTCGCTTTCTGGGAGTAACTTTCTCTTTGGAAAATCAGCACTAATTTGAGATTAATAGATGTGATGAGCTTTCTAATTTAAAAATGTATACCATACTCTGTAAACCCCAAGTTCACATCTGCCCCTTCCCTTCCCTCCCCTCCCCTCCCCGCTCTTCTCCTTTCTCCACTGTTTGCAGTGGTGTCTCTAAGGCAATTCTTGTTCTCTGAAACGTACCTTGGACAATCAGCATTCATGGTGTTTGCTCAGAAGGTTCACAGAGCTCTGGCATTTTAGAAACCCTGACAGATTCCCTCCCCTCCCCAGCAGTGTTGGTGCTGAATAGTACCCTTTGTGGGCTGTAAGACATGTGTGCTAGACGTGAGAGGCAGATGGATGACTCTGCTTAATCTTTCTGGGTGGAGGTTGCTGGTGGTCCTCGGGACCTGGTGTCCATATTAAAATCATTGGTGAGATGGTCTCTTCTGGAGAATCATTCCAAGCTTTTTAAAACATTATAAAATGGCTTGAAAAATAAGGTCCATATGTTAAATTACACGTGTTTTGAAGAAGCACCGATAGCTGGGGATATCTTTAAAATCTACATTGTGAATACTGATATCAACAGAATCTGATATTTGCAAGTAAATAGCATCTTTATTTTGAAAATTTAAAAAAAACACATGTTAGTACTAAAATAAACGTTTTATCAACAAAATCACAGTGTACCAAATATCTAATATGTGTCTCAAAAATATTTCTCAGCTGACTTAAAGGTCTCCTGGGAAAGTGAATTTGTGTTCTTGGGTGGAGACAGGACCTAGCAGGGTGCTCTGGGGGAGTGAGACGCCCGATGCGTCAGCAGGACTGGACCCCAGCAGAGCTGAGGCACAGACACAGACGCAGGGGCAGTGAGAAACGTGGACGTGGTCATGTGACACACACAGACACGCCCACTGAGATCCTGCCAAAGCAGAGCCCGGATGAGGATCGTAACACTTGATGCTTTCAGAACCCGGACCACTGCTCCCTTTCAGCAGCAGACCTCCCATCCCTCTGTGCTCGCATTTTGAGCAGAATCCCATCTCCGCATGGGAACTTTTGTAACCCACACGAGGCAGAGGAGTTATGTTGTTTTAAATTTATTTTTCCTAGAGAATACTTATTTTTTTTGGCAAAAATTTTGTGCTCTTTAGTAAAAATAAAGATCTTTTTTCTATTGCCAGATGTGTGATTTTTCCATTAAATTCTTTGACTCATATTGTGGAACATTTCCCCCATATTTAGAGTCTGTCTAAACATGATAACCTGGGGCACACACTAGTGGTTTTGTGGCAGTTCTTTGGAATAGGTTACGTGGCTTATTATTTACTTGTCAAATATTATGAGTACGGAAACTGCGAGTTAAAATATTCTAATTAATGTTCCTGGCCATTGAACTTAGCCTTGGAAGTTACATGGAAACATTATAAATTTTACTGTCACAGCTTATCCATGGCCATTATGTATGCATGGAGCGCTTTAGAATCTTAGTAAGTCTACAGACTGTGTGTAAATAACCCAATTTTTGCTGGTAAATAAGGATGAGTGACTTGAAATTGTACCTTACCCTATTCCTGTCCCCTACTGACTGGGGTATTTCCTAATCCTGCCTCCTACTCAGGGTAATCCCTGATTATGCCCATTACTCAGTGGGGTATTCCCTAATCCTGCCCCTTAACGTATTCCCTGATACTTCCCCTTATTCAGGGTATTTCCCAATACTGCCCCTTACTCAGTGGGGTATCTTCAAACACTGCCCCTTTGGGTGTTCCCTGATACTGCATTACTGCTTGTATCATTGATCTTCTACCTAGAAAATCAAGTGATTTTTTTTTTTTGGTGAACTTACCACAGCAACATTGGCGTTCCTTTAATTTCCAGCGAGAGGCTTAGCTCTCCAATATCTACACCCCATCCTGACACACCATGTACAGATCCTATTGATTTGTGCGTTGCTATTAGTAGTCCTTTAAGATCTGCTGCAAGGCCCCAGGGACAGCACAGGGGTCACGTCACTGACCTTGCATGTGACCCAGCCTAGTTCTCCACCTCTGTCCCCTGGACACTGACAGGAGTGTCTCTGAGCACAGAACCGGAGACCTCTCTTTCCAGCACTATCTGCATGATTCCAACCCTCCACCCCCCAAAGAATATCATTAAAAATATCCATTTTCCATAAGGTGTATTTAGGATTGAATGGAAAAAATCACATTGGAGCTCAGAAAAAGCAGGCATGGAGTGTCAGTGCCTGGTGAGCCGTAACCATCACACAGGATGAAGCTGAGCCTCTGAGAACAGCTTGGGACATAGGGTCATCCGGAGACCCCCTTAGCCTCACACCCCTCACACCGGTGCGCTGGCTCACCCCATTTCCCAGGAAGCCATACTGCAATATTCTGGTGCTTTCAGTCATCAAAAGTGATCCAATGAACTGAGAACCCTAGACATCCCTGAGGAAGAAGCAAACTACACTCTGTGCTTCTCTTATTTGATCAGAAGCACTTCACTTATGTGTCAAGTCTCTTTTCTGTCATCTTAATTTTTGCCCCCAATATACTTTCAAAGGTTTTACAGTTTGTTTGGTTTTTAATACATTGGCTTTTAAAATTAGAAATAATGTTATAGCTTAGAAACTTACAATTGACCGTGATTTCGATGAGCAGTTTTAGATGAGCTTTGGAAGTAAAATAAGTTTCTTTAACATTGATTATGCCTTTCATAATCTGGGATTTTGTGTGAATGATGTTTGAGAAATACAGCCATGAACAATGGGCTTATCTGCATAGTAGCCTCTGAACTCAGAACTTACTCTGAGTACATCATTCTTAGTAATAAGAGCAGCTCAGAAGTTTGGAGCCACATTTTTTCTGAACAGTTGGCAGATACCTTATCTGTAGGTGGCAGGCTTTTGAAAGGAATTGGATGACCATCATCTGCCAGTTTGACTAGCCGCTTGTGTTTGCCATAATCACTAGGGGAGGCAGTGAGAAGGCTAAATTGGATATATATCTAAAGAAAAGCTGATAAATGGCAGAAAAAAATTAATATTACTTTCATTTTTTGGATACAGCAGAAATTGAATAGGGAAAATTTAAAGCACAGACTTAGACAAATATATCGATGATAAACTACTAATTTTATTAACTAAATGCCTCTCTCATTTCCCAAGTGGCATCTTTTAATGGATTGGTGTAGGATTCTCTGCACGGACTGTATAAGGACCTGAAGGTGTCTGAGCTGCTGTAATTTAAAAATTACTAGATGTATTACAAGAAGGAATTTGACATCACTAACAAGTAAAAAATGTATTTGTGGCAGGAAACCGTTTTCTACATGACAGTTTTGATACTTAGATTATGAAAACAATTGCCTGTAGAGATGGTTTACGAGGCACCCTCAGGTTATAAGACGCTCTTCTAGAGGAACCCTTCTTATTAAAATATTTTTGTCTCAGAAGTACTTATTCTGTCAATTATAATGTATGTCCTTAGTAAATTACATGTATCTCAGTGGGTAGATAAGCAAGTAGATGCTGGGCAGATGGTAGATTATTAGGACAGATGGGTGATAGTTAATAAATAGGTGCTATATCAGAGAGAGAGAAATGGAATTGTGTAGGGTGATGTGAAATCACATGTACAGTTTCTTTCTTTTTTCTTTAGAATTTTAGGGCCATATGGGGTGTCGGGAATCTTGGTCCGCAAGTTGCAAGGCAAGCACCTTCTCCACCGTACGGTCTCTCTAGTCCTGTGAATTTT